AAATTACGGAGCAGGCAATAAGTCCAGCAGCTATCTCAATCAATCGTCAGTTATGGAAAGATCGGGTTCCAAAGGCCGGATCCCTTGTGAATCAAGTCACGAAAAGTTCAAGAATCGGCAACAGGCCATGGGCCTATGTCTTCAACGCCGACACTTCTATTCTATAGTAAACATTTAATCACCATTTACCAGTATAGATCGTGCTAAAATGTTACACACGATATCAACTGTCCATTCAACTGTCGTGTTACACACGATATCAACTGTCCGCAAAAAAACTTGTTTCCAATAACGAGTCTTGTCATTTATTGTCTTTAATTTTCGCTGTACGAAAATTTATAGTTTCCATACAATTTTACTTCTAGCGAGTTTTATACTGAAGAGGATTTTGTAGTTTTTTTAATATAAACATTTTAAAATATTTTTACCGCCATTATTCTGCTACAGGTCGAATGCTAGAACTGCGTATTCATTAAATAACAATATAGATTTAAATTTTGTGGACTCTCTGCCTCCATTCGGAGGCTTGAGTCAGACTTGTCCAGCTATCGATGCTCTTAATTACAACACTTCTCTTTACCTTCACTTCTTGTTTGTCTGTCTGTCTGTCTGTCTGTCTGTCTGTCTGCTACAAATCTAATAATCGATATTTAACACACTTCTACCTGTCCAATCGATTTGAAATTCGGCACATTTGCGTAAAGTTGGAGACAATGCATGAACCAATTGATGGAATAAATAATTGTATAAATTAATTTTTTTTTCATTATTGAAAAAATTAAAAAATAATTTCGTCTCCTACAAATCTTCTAATCCATATATGACACAATTTGACCAGTCCAATTGATCTGAAATTTTGCACAATTGCATAAAGTCAGAGACAATGCATGAATCAATTGACAGAATAAATAATTTTGAAAATTTACAAAATTTTGATATCATAAAAAAATTTTGAAAATTAATTTTTTTAATATTTGAAAATAAAATTAGAAATTCGTTGTACATGTGTAACATCCAAGACACTGGATTGTTCAGAAGTGTTGTCTTTAAAAAGTAATTTTTAAACGCATATTATTTTTGTCTATGGATGATCACGTGCTGTCAAAGTTTAACCCCGCCAAAGAGCGTATCCACTCTTTGTTCGTGCAGAGGGTGAATAAGTGCGAAAATATTTGAACGATTTGATCCAATCATTCCTGCGCCAATTTTATAAAAGAATATCCTACGCCAATTTCATAAAAATCCATCAGATTTTTCAACTTGATTTCTAAAAATACAACAATTTTGTTTTAATTACGCAATGATATTGATCTGACCAGAACTCTTACTTAAATTCTCAATTAAATTATGCGTATAAAAATGCTCGTTGTTCCATCAGCACGAACTATGTTCCTTGGACGCGAGAGACACGCTGCACGCTGACCACCTCATGATCAAGCTCCGTCTGCAGCCCCAGCAGTTGCTGGTCCGGGTGCCCACATACTTCGTCAGGGACAGACAGCAGCTCCTGCTCGAGGTGAGGGCTCTCAAATACTCCTCAGGCGAATTTTTCTGCAAACTTAATATAGGAATTATAAGAAGTTGCGCAATTTAATAACGTATTCCTATAATCCGGTTTTCTTGAAGGCTGATAAACATTCTAGTTGGAAATAGTGTTTGGCTAGTATATTCTATTACTCAGGTTCAATCAGTCCACTGTCTCGTTTCTTTTCTTTTCTAAACTACTTACGAGGTCGCTGTAGCGCCAGCACCCTTGGATCTAGCATCGCAATTGTTTTTCGATCCATAGGCTGTTCGAATGGAGGAAATTTGATTCATTAATTAATATTAACCAGACGAAATGGAGGGCTAATTTTGTGAAAATCTTGTGAACTGCAGAGGTGCTAACGGTGAAAACATGCATGTTATGTCGTCCAAACTGCATCCATCGACCGTTTTTTTTTATTTGAAAGGCAGCGTTTGGATTAGAGGACAAAATTAGTTCGTAAACTGAGTCTTTATAAAGAAATTCAATTAATTTATGAGATCAAATCAAAAAGTACAAAGCGTACTTGATCAGAATCTAGTGATAGGAAGTTCACTTACAGGATTTAGTTTTCATTTGAAGCCCTCAATTTCTATGGCCGTATTGTGGCAGAAGGAGCGCTTGATGGCCCGGTGCCTGGAGGAGGCTCAATTTCCATGGCCGTATTGTGGCAGAGGGAGCGCTTGATGGCCCGGTGCCTGGAGGAGGCTCAATTTCTATGGCCTTATTGTGGCAGAGGGAGCGCTTGATGGCCCGGTGCCTGGAGGAGGCTGGCGTGGCTAGTGTGGAGGAGGAAGAAGCTCTACTGACGGTGGCTGAGGCTATCGCCATCCTGCAGCGGCACGAGAGGGCGAGACAAGCGCGTAACAGAGCCCTGCATGCCAAGGCCGTCACAACATCAAAAGTAAAGATAATTACTGAAATATATTTCTGAAGTTATAACTTCAAGTATGTGTAAATTATCCCTTGAAGTGATAAACTTGAGATAAACTTCTTGTGATAAACATTTTGATGCGTGACGTTTCGCTTCACGCACTCTTGTCCCAATTGTTCAAGATATTTCTCACTAAATAATTACGTTTCTAAACGCACACTCAATGTTTACTTGTTACTGTTTTCCTCTTTGGTGAGCTATAGCACGCACGTCACCACTCTTCACTATCTCCCCACCCCTCTCCCTCTAAGTCCGTTTCCTCCTCAACAGGAGCGTGTCATTAAATAATTACGTTTCTAAACACACCCTTTATGATTTCTTGTTACTGTTTTCCTCTTTGGTGAGCTTTAGCACGCACGTCACCACTCTTCACTATCTCCCCCTTCACCCCTCTACCTCCTCACCAGGAGCGCGACCGTGGGCGCGGTCGAGGGGCGCCCGAGAAGCCCTTGAGTCGCGACGCCGCAGCGGTGCTGATCCAAGCGCACGTCAGGGGCATCATCGCCCGCGCCGCCGTCGCCAGGATGAAGCAACAAGAGATGGTCTTCCTGGGCATGGTGATATGACGTGGTCTTCCTGGGCATGGTGATATGACATGGTCTTCCTGGGCATGGTGATATGACATGGTCTTCCTGGGCATGGTGATATGACATGGTCTTCCTGGGCATGGTGATATGAGACCTCCTGGGCATGGTGATGTGAGACTACCTGGGCATGGTAATATGACATGGTCTTACTGGGCATGGTGATATGAGAAGTCTTGGGCATGGTGCTTTGATATGGTCTCACGGGGTATGGTAATTTTTAAAGCTGATATAAAGTTAAAGAAATCCATTCGACTGTTCCTGCTGTTCCAGAACTTTTATTAATCCGTCCGACGTTCAACTTCGCTATCGGTGGAATAGTTTTCTCTGATCGATTCTGTCATTTTGGAATGTTAAATCTGCTTCTAAATTTAGATGATCCCACAAACCTTGTAAACTTAAATACAATATATTAAGATAATTTATGCATAATTAAGCTTGGGTCTTTATTAACTAAAAGCATTAACGCAACATTTCCCTATGAAATGTAAACTTTAATATAAAAAAAACCTAAATTCGTATATCTGCGGATGTAGGAGGCAGATGCAGGATCAGCTCAAGCTGCGGCAGTACAAGAAAAGCTCAAAGAGGTTCGCGAGGCAGCGTATAAGGATCAGAAGAAGCTTTTTCGGGACCTTGAGTCTGTCAAGGATCAGGAACGTCGGAGGATAATGTTTGAGGAAGGTCCTCAGATGGTGCACGCCTTGGAGGAGAGCCTCAGAGAATGGATTTTCCAAGTCAAGTGAGAATTATTGGCTAAATGTATTTCATTAAGTCTTTCAAAAGGAATGTGTATTTTTCAAAACCATAGTGATTAGTGATATTTTAAATAATTGATGAAAATTTCATTCGCTTCCGTGGATAGAACTGTTAAAATAATTGTGCAGAAATGCTAAAAAAGAAACTTTCTTCTTGTATGTGCGTTCTAATTTTGAGTGAATATATTTCATACGTATCTTAAGACAACAAAAAGATCTTATAATTGCTCCCAGATTATCTTCATATACGTTTTCGAACGAGAGCTTCCTACGTTATTCAGGGTCTCTCTACTAACCATTGTACAAGATATTGAAAATAATCTTACATGTGCGCCATGCGACTGAATGAGAATCTTCATTAAACGCTCCTGCCCAACTTTCTCACCTAAAACCCAACCTACATGATTGCTTCGTTATTTACGTATTTTGCTGATGCACTATAGCATTGTTCCTTTTTAGCTTTCCCCATCCCTGGCCGAACTATAGAAGCAGGGTCCAGCAAATTCGTATAAGAAATATAATAATGACGCATTCCTGCAATGTTCAAATTCGTCCTAAAAATAATTTTATTTTGAAGTAATTTTAATTTTAATTCCATATATGCCAGGTATTATTTATGTCCATTAAGAATAGCGAAAAACAATAGAATATTAATTAAAATATTATTTATTATAAGGTTATCAAAATTCAATTATTTATTAAAAAATGTCAATGAGTTTTGTTCTACAATCTGTTTCCAAATTTTTAAAGCGAATAATCATGACTACTTTTTAAACACTCGCGATGAAATAAGTTCCTTTCAGTTTAAAGGATCAACTACAGTTTGTATCGATCATTTATATTCAATATTCTATCTAACCTAATTTTCGGGTTTCTCGTAATCAATTTTGTCAATTGATGCTACCAAATTATTGAAAAATATCACTCAATTATAGATGCTTATACTTTTACGTAACTGTTAATCACTATACCTGCATATTACACCTCTTTATCATGTGGCCAAATTATCTTAATTGATAATAGGAATTTCACTCTTTAATGCAAATAGCCTAGAATACACCGTACTTCTACCAAATATATATTTTTTATATTTCTCAACAAAATTTCCGGCGTGCCCCCAGACGTGACACGGGCAAATTCCCCGAGTTCCCCGATGAAGAAGATGGCGGGTCTGCAGCCATAGACGGGGTTTTAGACCCCTTGCGCCCTCGGGGGTCTGAGGTCGTCAAGGAGGAGCAGCTTGACGTGGTGGGGTCTGGGTTGGGGTTACACACAGGAATTATGCGTCATATTGTCCAAATAGTGACGCGCTTTCTCATCCAGAGAGCGGACGTAGCACTGATACGTCGGTTTGCCGCGTTAAAATGGGTCTGGTTGACATAAACAAGGGCAAGAAGTAGGTCGCAATTAGGATTAAGTCTCATTAATTTCTCCAAGTGTACCGTTGTCTCATATTCAGGCTAATAACGTTAGAACAGCGTTTATTTAACATTATTGGCAACGCCAGATGTCTGTTAATTGGGAATAATCAAACGCTGCTTTCGCTGTCGAAAAAATTTGCTCACTCCACGCATTATGTTGGCTATCGCAAATTATCACTTTAGTTTTGCATGTAACAGGCATCCAATTTAGGAACTGGAACCTTTTTATTTTACAGTTTCATACAATTAAATAGAATATCGTTCAAATCGTACGATACAAGTTCAGTTAAACCTTCGTATTTCAACGCAGTCTGCATATTTGAAGATGGGAATAATGGCTCCTTAACCCACTACCGCCTGACACGAGGAACCGGAGCAATATTGTCACAAGCCTACTTCCCAAAAAAGATACGTTCTAGTGAGCGCAAAATGACTTGCACTGATGCTTGCCGCCACGTATGACAACATTAAAATGTTTTCTTTTGCTTACAAACGTCTTCAGGTTGCTATAGTCAATAGTTTACGCATAATTTACGTTAAAAGTTATGTTCTGGAGAGTGACATACGGCGGTAAAAGGGTTAAATTGTCACTTGCATGGTCGCAGGATGTTATCGGTCAAGTAAACTCTACGAAAATATTCTGTTCCTCTGACTTGAATATTCGTCTTCAAAAAGATAAATTTCTATTTGTATTCCCGCACATTTGAATCATTTTGTTTATATTTGATCGCCTCGGTTTAAAAAAAAAATATTGACACAAACATTAAAAAGCATGAAGTATCATTTGATTGATAGCCTCGAGTCGTTTAATGATCTAGTATGTGACTATTACATTGAACATTCACAAAGGTTACAACCATTCAAACTATGTACTTTACGTGAAATCTAAACACCAATATACAAATATAATATAAATAATTTTTTATTTGAAGCGATCAAATCTCTTTGGAAGAATTCCCCAAGATGACCTACACAATTTGTCTGCTCTAGAGATGTCCGATGGGCCAACGTCTGTGCTTTTTGTCCAAGCGAATACAAAAGTCACTGTAAACGACAGTCTTACTCAAGTAATAAATAATCTTATATTATCATAGTGATTGTGCCACTGTAAAAGCCAGTCTTACTCAAGTAATAAATAATCTTATATTATCATCGTGATTCTGTTTCTGCAAACGCCAGTCTTATGAAGTAATAAATAATCATATATTACCATCGTGATCGTGTCACAAGTTGTTATCTTAAATCTTATATTATCATCGTAATTGCGTCACTGTAAACGCCAGTGTTACCCAAGTAATAAATAATCTTATATTAACATCGTAATTGCGTCACTGTAAACGCCAGTCTTACTCAAGTAATAAATAATCTTATTCCATCATCGTGACTGCGGGCATAAGGAGACGGAAGGTGACAGCAACAAGCCCCAGCAGCCCCAGGACGATGAGGAAGAAGAGCAACTTGTGATGGTGCGTCAGTCCTGCGTCACCCGCGAGCTCAGCGATGCCTGCGCTGCCTACAGAGGTACGTATTTTTCTGCAGATAATATAATAATCCAGTTAGACGCGTTATTTACGTATATATAGCATAATAAAATAAGCCTACTACCTCGGTACTTTTTTTGTAGGCACAGTCAGTGGCTCTTTGTTAATTATATAATGAAACGTCTTACAGCGGCAGATTTGTGGCAGCCGACGCCCATTGTACACAATATTATTGCCCTGTATCAAGGCAAAAATCAACAGTGTTATCTTTTATTATAGTATTGTATGTTGGTGCTGTATTATAGTATTGTATTATTGTATTCTATTGTATTGTGGTATTTATTGTATTATAGTATTCTATTGTGGTATGAAGAAACGAGTGTCCGCGGCAGACATTTGGTAGACGGACGCTGTTGGCGAATCCCATTGTACACAATATTATTGCCCTGTATCATGGGAAAAAGAAATAGTATTATCTTCAATTATAGTATGTATGTTGATGTTGTATTATATTATTGTATTATGGTATTGTATAATGGTATTGTATTATGGTATAAACTATAACCAAACGAGTGTCCGCGGCAGACATTTGGCAGGCGGATGCTGTAGGCGACGTGGCTGAGGAGGTGCAGAGGGCGCTGGTGCTGGAGCAGCAGCGGCAGGGCGTACGCGTCGCCGTCAGGAGCAAGGTGGACGCCGTGCTCAGGGTGCAGCTGCAGAAGCTCAAGGAGGTGATTTTCTAGCGTCAGATTTGTGCATAAATATACAAACTGCTTGAATTTCCAGCAACGAAGTTATATTTTGTTGTGTGAACAATAAAGAAAAGCTATATTAAGGAGATGATTTTCTAGCGTCAAATTCGTGCGTAAGTATAAAAACTGCTTAAATTTCTAGCCACGAAGTTATATTTTGTTGTGTGAACAATAAAACAAAGCTCAAAGAGATTATTATTCTAGCGTCAGAACCATGGATATACAAGTTGCTCAAATTTCTTGGATAGAAGTTATATTTACAGCACGAATAATTATAATTAGTGATTTTTTATATTCATTGCAAAATTATAATAAATGATGAAAATGGCGCTTGTGCATTCATGGCTTCTCTTTACTATGAGTAATTAAGATATAGAATTTTTCCACACACTTTATGATGACACCAAACAGCCTGTAGAATATCATAACGATAATTTATTTCATGCGTACCTTTATAATCATGTTGTAAAGCTCAAGATTTTACCATTTAATTGTTCTGCTGGCAACACATTATACCCCGACTCAAAAATATATTTAATTCTAAGCCATATTGAGATATTATTTATACACTTACAGAAATGATAAGTATCTATGACGCACGTTGGAGCCATCATCTATACCACATTGTATATTTACTCATTTCTCAATTTAAAAATTCGGACAAAATTTGATCCCGAGAGACAAAACCCATTTCATATACGTAAAATTAATATGTACTTTCACAATTAGAACATTGATTTTCATCTTTTCAGTTTCACAGTGATGTTTATTTTCACGACCTAACATAAAATATCGGCGGTTTTGTTAACAAGGAAGTGGAAGGCGAGAAGAAAGGATCTCGTAAGAAGAAGCGCACGAAGAAAGGAGCAAAGAAGAGCAGGAGGAGGAGGGAGAAAGACCTCACGCCTGATCGCTCCACCGAGTCCCTCTACGAAGAGCTTGTCATCAATGGTGACGAGGAATATCTGTAGAATTTATCGTGATAAATAAGTTTTTACCGATAAGTTTTTAACACGATAAGTTTTTAATAGGATAAGTTTTCAACACGATTAGTTTTAAGACGATAAGTTTCTAACGCGATAAGTTTTTAACACGATAAGTTTTTAACACGATAAGTTATAACACGATAAGTTTTAACACGATAAGTTTTAACACGGTAAGTTTTTAACACGGTGAGTTTTTACCACGATAAGTTTTTAACACGGTGAGTTTTTAACCGAAACCTTTTTAACACGTTAAGTTTTTAACACGATAAGTTTTAAATATCATGTGAACCTATCGTGCCTCTCACACAATTACTGCAATAAAAAAAGCCTAATAAGTGCTAGTTTACCCAGTTATAGCTAAAGGTAATAATATTCGCTATCGTATATTAAAACTTTTTAGAGTGTAAATATTGCTAATTGACCTGCCAGCTTTCAACTGTTGTGCCATTTTTGTTCGTAATTAAAAATTTAAAAAAGGCGGGGAAACATTGAGTATTTTACTTCTGTTTACCTTGAACCATGCATTTATAAAATGTTTATATCATGAGCGGCAAGTTGTTAAATATATCCGCATAAATAGTTATTAGGCCAACGTGATGGATTGCAGCGCAACTGCTAGAAGAACAGCATTTGATGATGAAAATAACATTTAAGTAATCCTATGCATCTTCACAATTAAAGCATCCAGATAACAAATACAATATACGCACAGGTTGAGCACTCTAAGTATTACTGTTGGTGAGGTCCATAGTGTTTTTATAATTATCAGATGCTCTGGACCTCACAATGCGATTCTAAGACACCCCATAGATCATACTTAGCAGCACATGGCATCAAAGTCATCACATTTAGCACCTCAAGGCATCAAAGTCATCGCATATAGAAACTCAAGCATTAAAGCCATCACATTTAGCACCCCAAGGCATTTAAGTTATCACATTTAGCACACCTATGCATCGAAGTCATCACATTTAGCACTTTGAGGAATCAAAGTCGTTGAACCTCAAGGCATCTAAGTTATCACATTTAGGAACCCCCAAGAAATCAAAGTCAGCACATCTATCATCTCGAGGCATCAAAGTCATCACATTTACGTAGCACCTCAAGCATTAAAGCCATCACATTTAGCACCCCATGCTAGGCATCGAAGTCATTGCCCCTCAAGGCATCTAAGTTATCACATTTAGCAACCCCCAAGGCATCAAAGTCATCACATTTAGCTCCACGAGGCCTCCAATTCATCACATCTAGCACCTCAAGTAATCAAAGTCATATTATATTGCCCCCCAAGACATCAAAGTCATCACATTTAGCACCTTAAGGAATCAAAGTAATTGAATCTCAAGGCAGCAAATTTTTCACATTTGGCACCACAATTGGCCCCCAATTCATCCCATTCACCCTTTGTCATGCCAGGCATCGTGCGGAGCGTGCAGCAGCACCCCGGCCTGGACGCTCTCAGCGCGGCCCCCAACACAGCGGGCCACCGCAGCCTCGCCCTCACTGGCTGGCCCGCCCCCTCCTACGGGGACTTCATCAACACCCTCGTGGAGTACGTCGCCCTGCCCCTCGGTACGTCGTACTGCCCTCGGTACGTTGTAGTACCCCTCTGTACGTCGCACTGCCCCTCGGTACGCTGCTCTGCCCCTCGGTACGTCTTGCGATCCATGCTACTCGGTACGTCGTCATGTCCGTTGGTACAGGGTGACACAAAAAAAACAGAGCTCATAAAAAGTTGAATAATTTCCACAATACTCAAGTAATCCTGTTATTTGTTTCAGATTCATTAAGAAGACGGATTGATCTAAGAGTCTACCAAGTGTGAGCTTCGAGATGCCTTGGACTACAGAGCAAAAGACATTTGCAGTTGAGACATATTTTCGGCTAAAGTCTTTCCGGGTTAATTCCATAGAATTTTTGTTTCAAACTGAATAAAATTTCAGGAGTTATAAGACTTTTAGTGAGCTCTGTTTTTTTTGTGTCACCCTGTACGTCACCCTGTAACGCACAACGCGGTACGTTTTCCTTGCCCTTATGTACGTCGTCTCGTCTTCTGTCTCGTGCTGTGCACAACAGTTTCTAAAGAGATCGAATATTGTCATCAAATTTTTCATGAATCACGGTTTTAATGTCACTATTATTCTGGACCTGACGTCCGCATTTCCGCAAGGGCTTTAGGGATTTTGATAGAAATTGTAATGATTTTATTCATTATAAGAAACTGGCAATTTAAAGATAATGAACTTGGTGCGTTTTAATCGATTATCTTGACCTATTCAATGAGGATGAACTGATACTTCCAATAGACTGACAATAAAATAATTTACTTGAATAAATTCTAAATGAACTGGCGCAATGTTGTAAATATTTTTGGTCTCATGCATTTTAAATGAATGGTGATTAACCGTCCATGTAATTGCGTGGTATAATGCTCATGAGCGTTTAATGTAATGAAGCTGATTTGATGCTTTATATGGAATAATGATGAAATGATGCCTTCAACATAATGATGATGAACCAGTTTAATTAACTGAATGTTGACGAATCGATGTAATCGATGAAATTACGAAGTAATGTAATTAACGGTGAATTTATGATGAAGTATGTAATTAATCTAATATAATCAACGGAATGAAGGTGAACTGATGTAATCAACTAAATGATAGTAAACTAACTTAATTAACAACATTATGATGAACTGCAGCGTTTAACACGTGACCATCCTTGCTGCGGTGTCAGGTCTGGAGCGACTGCACGAGTTGGCGGAGGAAGACAGCGGCGGCGGCGGCGGCGGCGGCGGCGGCGGCGGCGGCGGGGCCGTGAACGAGAGCCTGGCGGCGGCGGTGGTGCGCAGCGTGCTTGTTGTTGGTAGCCGTGGTACAGGTAAGTGTCATACATTTATTTAATTGCATCATAAAAGATACGAGATAAGATGATGAATCATAGTGAAAATTACATGTCATTGCATTATAATAAGTAATGGGATAAGATATTAAATCGTGGTGAAAATTACATCTCATTGCATTATAAAAAGTCATGGGATAAGATGATAAATCATGGTGAAAAGATAATTTTATATTGCATGATAATAACCGTGTGATAGGATGAAATATCGTGATAAAGAGTTTATTTATTTTTGATAATAAATTACGAGGTAATATAACAAATCGAGATCTTAATTGAATTTCATTGCATGATGATAAGACAAAGAATAAGATGATGGATCAAAATACACAGGGAATTAACTTTCGTGTTGATAAGCAACGAGATAAAATGATAAATCAAGCTAAAGATTCAATCACACTGTGTTCGTACGCCACAAGTAGAACATTCATTTTCATCCATTCAGTTTCACAGCGATGTTTACTTTCACGACCTATCGTAAAATATCGATTTTGTTACCTAGGAAGATGGAATAATAGGGCACGGTATAAAATCCAACGGACTATCGTAGATTTATCAGCGCCCTTGATGAATTAATGTCTACAATTTAAGTCAACAATTAATGCCAACAAATAATGTCAACAACTAATGTCAACAATTAATGTCAACAATTAATGTCAACAATTAATATCAACAATTAATGTCAACAATTAATGTCAACCACTAATGTCAACAATTAATGTCAACAATTAATGTCAACAATTAATGTCAACAATTAATGTCAACAACTAATGTCAACAATTAATGTCAACAATTATTGGTGCTCAAGGTACTGCTGCTCCATCTGGTGCTCAAGGTGCTGCTGCAGCAGTTGCTTCTCATGAATTCTTCACACTCTCCTTAGCTCATCAGTCACTATTTACTTTCTATTCATATTAGAATATAATAGAATAGAAGTGTCGGCATTGAAGAAATAGGCCCATGGCCTGTTGCCGATTCTTGAATTTTTCGTGCTTGATTCACAAGGGATCCGGCCTCTTGAACCCGATCTTTCCATAGCTGACGATTGATTGTTGACTGGGCTGATAATCAATTGATAATCAATAATCAATTGCGAGAAATGTTTAATTGGCCTTGTAGTTTCATAGGCCCCATCAAAATTCTGGGCTGTTTACGTACGAATTTTATCTTTTGCCACATGCTTGACGTTCAGTCACCTTGATTGGCGTTCATATTGTTTCACATTCATTTCAAGCAGCACGGCACATATAGTCACTCAAAGTTTAATCTGAATCGTTGCAGTGAAAACACAATATCACGTTAAATGCGGAATTGTTCGTTAATAATGGAACTACTCATTGATGGCCGACTGTATATTTCTTAGGTGGGAAGGCTGATGCAGCCAACAATTATCCTCGTCGACGAGGCAGAAAAAACTTTCCTCAAGAAGGTAAGTTTTTTCTTCAATCGGGGCGGCTGCGAGAAATATTTAATTGTCCTTGCAGTTTCATAGGCCCCATCAAAATTCTGGGCTGTTTACGTACGAATTTTATTTTTTGCCACATACATACAAGGATGCAATCTGAAACATTAATGCTAGATACTTGCCAATATGGTGTTCATGTAATAGAGTATTGCATCGTAATTATATTGACACAAAATTAACGAATTTGCTAATTGTGTAAATAAAATCCGAGTAGGTGCCGAAAACGGACAAATCTGAACCTCGTCGCCTGCGCAAGGAGTTGCCGCGACTCGTGAAGGCGATTGCTCCTGAGGATAGAATCATCTTGATCGGCATCACCAACTCGCCATGGAACTGCGACTTAAAAGTCTGTATTACCCACCCTGCAACTGCGACCTAAAAGTCTGTATTACCCAGCCTGGAACTGCGACCTAAAAATCTGTATTAGGCGCACTGGAACAACGACATAAAAGTCTGTATACCCGCCCTGCAAATGCGACATAAAAGTCTGTATACTCGCCTGGAACTGCTACCTAAAAGTCTGTATTAGGCGCACTGGAACTGCGGCCTAAAAGTCTGTATTACCCGCCCTAGAAATGCGACCTGAAGGTCTGTATTACCCGCCCTGGAACTGCGACTTAAAAGTTTGTATTACCCGGCCTGCAACGGCGACTTAAAAGTCTGTATTATACGCCCTGCAACAGCGACCTAAAAGTCTGTATTAACTGCCCTGCAACTACGACCTAAAAGTCTGTTTTACCCGGCTTGGAACTGTGACCTAAAAGTCTGTATTAGCAGTCTCATGGAACTGCGTTCTATACAAGTCTGTATTCTTGCCTTGGTGCTGTGATCTAACTGTACTTACGCGCTTATTCCCAACACTTGTTTATCGCGACAGCCAAAGCTGTTAAATTATGTATTGAAATTCCTTCCCTATATCTCATGTTTTTTTGCCTCAATAAACCATGCCAGACATATATATGTGCCAAACCATTCTATGCTTATTTTAGGCGTTCTGTCATGATTATTTCAGGCATTTTGTGTGTGAAGAACTACAACAAACTGTAAACGTAGCCAAACTTTGCTTAATTAAATCATTTAGCCATTCAGCCATTTTACTATTTATTTTATTTTTTCAAATTACTGGATCAGCCATTTTACTATTTGAATTTGATTGGCTCTTTTTTTTATAGTATTGCAGATATTTCCAATACATACATTATGTATTCAAATTCATTGAGATCTCCAGCTTGCCTTGCACATAGAGATCATCGTCTCTAGGCAACGTCTATTTCATTTTAAAAATCACATGTATCCTCATTGTCATTAATTCAGTTAAATAAATGTTCAAGCAACCTCATTGCTCACTTCGTCTGTTCGTTTGCACTCTCTATTGCTAACGTAAGCAATAGTTAACAGGTAACTTGCGAGGTCGATATTAACCAATCTAATTAGGCCTGGTGAAGTGCTTCATGGTATTTTACAACACACATCAGATAAATGGCCCCCCTGCAGCCACAGGGCGCTAATTCACTGGCACATCCTCACCAGAACCTGACGTCGGTGTACCAGAAGATTTTGCTTTGCCCACGCCCCTCGTTCAGCGCTCGCGCTGCACTCTGGGGGCACCAGCTTCTGCATCATGGAGCGCCTGTGCGTCAAAACCAAATGCATTTATTCCTTTTTTATAGCATTAATCAAATTATGTTATTATCTTTGTATTTACTGTAACGTTAATTACTAGCATTAATCAAATAATGTTATTATTTTGTATTTAAGGTTAATTATTTTACTTGTTTGTCACCAACATGGTTGAACTATTAGTTCGAAAGTGTTGTCCTACTTGTGCATTTTTATGTCAGTTTTTGATGGTTAATCGTCTTAAGTTACCTAGCTGCCTGTAATCGCAATTATTCTAGTTGTCAATAGTCATTTATAATTTGTTTCATCCTACTTGTATGTCGCTATACCAATTTCGATTATTTCTCTCTCGTACATATAATCTATTTCATCTTACATTGATAGAGTTAATGCGGATTTTTTCCACTTTTTCGTCAATTATATAGTGTGATCCCATGTTTTATTGATCTCTCTGTTACGTTCAACCCAAGGTTTTTCAACCCTTTGTTTCGTTGAAGCCCTAATATTCCAATTACGTGAACTTATTAGGCAGCAATTTATCCTCTTTACGCGGCATTTTGTCCTTCTACATTGCATTCATGGTTGCATTGTTCGGTTGTGCAGATGAGCTCTGCACAAGACATAAGTTGCTTGGCCAGGATCAGCGACGGCTTCACTGCCGGTCAAATCTGCCTTGTGACAAAGCAGGTAATCAACACAACATCTTTACACTCTGAATAATGAATGAGGTTTAGTTTAAATTTCAATGCCCTTTTCGCTCTACTTTGTGGGATATCCTGGCCCATTTTGGCCCAGCGAGAGGGCGCATTGGTGCTACGTCCGCTCGCTGTTCGTGAGGCCGGTAAGAAAGTGCGTCACTTATTGGACAATATTGCACAATCATTCCTGCTGAGTATACGTTTCTATCAAGTATTGATAATAGAATTAACCTGCATGAGCCTAGTAACTAATTTAATTGGGCTTCTAGCTCTGGTAAAATGGATTTGATCAATAGAATATAATTTTTTCCACAGGTCGTTTCTTTGAAGAAGAAGATAGCCACGGAGAAATCAGCAGTTCTCATTCAAGACTTCATCCCGTATCTCGCCAAGCAAGAACCGCTCTACAGGCATGAACAATGAATTTACCTTGCGACTTTGAATACGTGAAAAAATTCAAAAGATCAACGAAATTTACTTATTACATTAATACTCGCTGATTATGGTCATAGATGCATGTTATGCAATTTCTTTTAACGTTATCACTTCCTTTTAACGTGTTATTGTAAAAAATGTAACTCAGTACTCACTGCAGTGAGAGACAGAGAGCGCATTTTCTCGTCGACGAAAACGTGAAGTCACGGACGGACAGACAGACGGACGGATAGACGGATAGACGGACAGACGGACATGGCGAGCACAATAGTGCATATTTTCCATAAATGAGAAAATTCGCTAAAAAACACTCCATTAACATCAAATACCTTGATGTTGACGGGAAACTTGTAGTCTTCGGCTAAATAAACCAGAGCGCGCGAGTTCTATTCAACAAGAAATGGCCAAGCAATGCCATTTCGTGTAATTTTAAATTCCATTCAAAATTATAAATTGTCTCAATAGTTTCTGAGTATACGAAGATGTTGTACGATAACCGATACATTCAAATCTTTGAGTAAGACTTCGATCGGAATATTAGAGACTTACATCGGTCTCAATGTGCAGACAATGTTTGTGATCGTAGACGCAGGAGGAAGGTTCAATGGAACCTTTCGGGATGAGCATAAACGTGCCTATACCTTTGCCTGTCTATGCCTATACAGGAATATCCGTTACTCTGCTATATCATTACCCGCCTATGCTTTTACATGCCTATACCTTTACCAGTCTATACTATGTATAACTATGCCTGAATATACCGTTACTCTCCTATACTTATACTCGCCTAACCCTAAACCCGTAGTACCGATCTCGTACACTGACATTATTTTGAGCTTGTGGGGAGGACGAAGCCTAAATGCATGTAACCTCTTGAGGCTCTTGTAGTGAACCTATACACTAAACACGCCTATGCATAAACCCATCTATACGCTATACCTTTGCCGATCTCAGTGGAATGACGTTTTTTTTTATTCCAGGGAGGAAGAAGAGGCGATGGCCGCGTGGTTCCTCAAGACACCACTCATGAAAAGACGCGCTAAGCTGCACGAGGAACTCAAGCTACTCAAGGAGAAGAAATCTACAGATAAGAGTGGTAAAGGCCGCTCCAAACCTGCCAAAAAGAAGAAATAATGTTGTTTCTTCTTCAATTGTAACTCGTCAAACGACAAAGAATAAATAATAGTACAAAACAGAAAAACTAATGATGGACTGGATAGGACATCCATGTGATAGGATGTGAAAGCTGTCCGTGGATTCATTATGAGAAAATAATAATGATGTCTACTAAAGAGCAGCGAGAGAGAGTGAGAGAAATGTCGAGAGAAATTTTTTCTCTTCTCAAATGAGAGAAAAATGTAAGAAAGAATAATTAAACTTTCAACTTCTGGCTTTTTTGCGGATTCATCTGGAACAGCGGTCTCTCTTGCAACTGACGATACTGTTCATTTTAGAATAGAATAGAAGTGTCGGCACTGAAGAAATAGGCCCATGGCCTGTTGCCGATTCTTGTTCATAGAATATAATAGAAGTGTCGGCACTGAAGAAATAGGCCCATGGCCTGTTGCCGATTCTTGAATTTTTCGTGACTCGATTCACAAGAAATCCGGCCCTTGGAACCCGATCTTTCCATAACTGACGCTTGATTGAGATAGCTGCTGGACTTATTGCCTGGTCCGTAATTTGCTAGGCATTTTAAGACTGAACATGCATATGCTCCTGCATAGCTCCGTCTAGTCTGTTCTTGAATGAGTGATCATACTCATAGCTTCAACGATGCTATCGGGGAGGCTGTTCCGCATGTCGGTGACTCGAAGCGAGAAGAAATGTTGTCGCATGGATGTGTTACAACGCAGCTTTTTTAGTTTATAGCCGTGGGTCCTGGTGTTAATTCTTGTTTCAAATTCTAGTAATCTTTCTGGGACTTTGTTTAAGCCATGAGTATACTTGTATGCTTCAATGAGTTCCCCACGCAGACATCGATAACTGAGGCTTGGAAGCTTCATAATCTTTAATCTTTCCTCATAGGACTTGCCTTTCAAGCCCGGAATTATCCTTCTTGCACGTCTTTGAACACTCTCTGTTAAATTTTTGTCCTTTTCAAGTTTCGGTGACCACACGACGTTTCCAAACTCTATGTTCGGGCGCACGACAGCAACAAACAACTGCTTCATCGCTCCTGCATCTAGGAACTCGAAAGAGCGTCTGATCAGTCCAAGCCGTTTATTGGCTTCATTAACTTGACCTTCAATATGCTTAAAAATTTTCAACAGTGAAACTGTTCAGTCGTCCGGCCTCGGATTACTTCACTACTTACGTCCCTAATCATGTTACATAATACATTAAAGCAAATAAGAAAAATACTGTGCAAACAGACGTTAAGGCCATGGTTGAATTGATACAACAATGTATTAATTCAACCATGGTTGAGGCCATGTAGTGTGTTTTTAGGTGAGACAAAGATGTTTAAGAATTTTGTTTGCATGATTTTTCTTAAATTAAATTGAAAGTGTCTTTTCGTTATGTGGGCGCATGAGGGCGTCACAAATATTATTACACACTGGACAGCTATTGTATATTGAATACGCTGGCAAATGGTATTGTAATACCGCCTCCAACTCGGGCCAAAGTATAACTTTGGCCAATTATAGCCAAATAACCAATTTATTCACCAATTAGTAATCATTCATGAGTAACGATTCTGAAATTCTTTTCCTTTAATTCCAACGACTTTAGGTTGAAAATTAACTGGATTGTTATTTTTTAGGTACGAAACGACGATTGTTCTTTGCCCGATGGACCTCAGATTGACAATGAAGTTGTCTGCTGTCTCGAGACGTCATTTATAGGAGTTTGTCCAATTTCGTATCCACAATACCGGACTATATACAGTCTGGTCTCAAAATTTGTCTTCATCATCAATTTTCTATGAAAATACGATTGAACTAAAAATCTTTAAAAAAATGGCTGGTCCCCAAAGACTCATGGAATGCTCTTCTATGTCAGGTTAAGGCATGTCGGACTGGCATTTCGCCAGTCCTGCCTACGCCAGTTGCTGGGATCCCAGCTTATGGCGTCAACAGAGCCTCTCTGGTAAAGCCAGTAGCTCTCTGGTGACGCCAGAGCTGAGCCGAAGCGAGGCGCCGCCCCCCAAGAGAGGGAAGAGATTCACCGCATTCTTGCGGAATCTCTTCTGTAGTTGTTGCAGGCCACGCGGCGAGAGCGACGGTGGCCGGTGAATGGTAGCGCCCAGTTCTTGAGGAGTTGGGGCGCTGCCTTCACCTGGCTACTGATTTGCTCTTGGGGGAAGAGAGTTAGGGGGGGGGGGTCCTTCGGGACCCCCAAAAAATAAAACATCCTACCTGCTGGGGAGCTGGCTCGGAACACTTTCTGTGCCTCACCTCTAGTCTTTTTGAAAGCTCCAGTGCTAGCTTTCCTGCCTCTTTTGGAGTTGCATAATTCTCGCTTGATGATTTATTGTTGACAGAAAACTCAATCAAGCTGTGAGTTTCTCAAAAAAGTTCAAGTTATCTTGGAATTGAGACATTACACTAACTAGCAGGAATTTTTCGATATTTCTGGGGAGGCTGCGTTTATTGAATCCTAACAATCTAAAATGCCTCAGACCTAGCAACATTTGGGAACTCTTGGACCAGGTTTCACAACTCGGCTCGACGAGGCTGGGGCAAGATCTGCCCCGAGACGCGGCCTGTCAAGGTAAGCTGCGTCTACATTAGCACCTCTGGGAAAAATTTGAAATTTCTCAGGTGACTGAATCGGGTGATCATGGGTGACTGAACAAAAGTTTACGCATATTCAGACATATGAATCATTTCTGGCTTAACTCGTGAAAAGACAACAGAAGCAGCAACAATTGAAAGATATGGTTAGTTAGTTGGTTTAGTTGCCACAGGTTTACTAGAGCTTCAGCTAAATAGCTATCTCGCACCGGAAGTCAAGATGAACATCACCAACAGGGTGGTAGGTCTCAATTATTTAAAGTTCCTTAGATAAAAAAATCATTCTTCAACTACAATAGGCAATATAATAGCATTTTGAGAAGACGAAGCGACAAGGAGAGGCAGGTGAAAAGCAAAATAAACTGAGACTTGAGCAAAAGGTCGCTTACACGTGACGTCGGCCACCCGCACGAGAGAGACAGAGAAGAGAAATGTAAGGAATCCTACCTACATAATAACTTAATGTAAGGAACCCTACCTACATAATAACTTAATGTAAGGAATCCTGCCTACATAATAACTAAATGTAAGGTATCGTACCTACATAATAATTTAATGTAAGGAATCCTACCTACATAATAACTTAATGTAAGGAACCCTCCCTACATAATAACTTAATGTAAGGTATCCTACCTACATTATAACTTAACTCCACAACCGAGACCTGCAGTCAGACACCGCGAGTTCAGCGGTGGGGCGCTCAGGAACAATCCACCTATATAGGAACGCGAAATCCTAGAGGACTTATGACGATCGAGCACAGACGCGCGTCAGAAGTCCCATCTCAGAGGAATTGAAGGATATGTGTGAGATTTCTTTTTGTGGTAATTCTGGAGTTTGTTTAGTCCAATTTGTGTTAGATGCTTTAGCAGCCCAATATTTATTTGAGAGCTCTAAGATTTTGAGCGCAATTCGTTTTCGTGGCCAGTTTACCGACAGTAACTATTATGCTTCTCAAGCTGGCATAATTTAACATTGAAAGCGTCGAAGCGACGATAACTAATTAGATGGTCAACTTATGGAGAGCTTGAATATTTGAGCGAAATAAAGGAAATAATTCGTGCAAATCAGTTTTGTATCCTTTTCGACTGAGTACTGACTAATTAATATATTGAGATCTTGAGATCTTAATATAATATTGAGTCAGATCAAGCAGAAGAGATTTACTTGTTGCGGACAAAGGGATTGCGAACTGAGTTTGGGTAGATCCTGCAGAGCAATTCAAGATTTAAGTTAACAATATGTAATAAAGTGAGTGAGGCATCAACCTTTTATTATCTTTGAAGTGCCTTGCGAAAATAATTCTTTATATGAACAGAATTTGGCTGTTGACAGTGTTATACGTTTTGACAGATTCTAATAACTAACGGAAACATTATTTACATGTTAGACAAATTTTATCAAACTATTGTCTGAATTGAATCCGGACTTCACCTAAATAGAGAAAACATAATAACACGTATAAACCATAAATTTCTACAATAGCACACAATTATAGCGAGTTTCGACCGTTGCCGTTCTATTAGTAGTATGTAGACACGTATTATTGGCCCGTATGCTAAATAGGGCAATAGGACTACGAAGTAGCACTATGCACTACGAAGTGTCCTGTTGGTATGCTAAATACGTCACAGACACTTAGCACTTCGACGTAGCTCTACAATGTTTAGTGTCGCACTAATGATTCGTATGCAGAAAGACTTTAGTGCTACTTCGCTGTTAGAGTACCTTATAGTGCCGCACTACGCTATGAGTCTATTGAAGAATGGTAGTCAAGTGCTTAAATAATTCATTATTGATTATTCCCTAAGTAATTTTCATTCTTTGCAAAAGATTTATGTAAAATGTCTAATTGTGATGGTAATGGTACTAGTGAAAATTGTGATGGTGAGCTGAAATTCGCAATGCGTCTGCGCACCTTTCCCATCATATATTCAAAGTCCACGCTTCCCAAAGAAATCGAACAAAAGAGAGAAGCATGGAAAGTTCTTGCAGAAGAATTCAAAATGACTCCAGAAAAAAATTCAAAACATGGTATCAAAAACAAGAAAAGTATTTTCTACTTCCGCTACAGGTAACAAACCAATTTAAGCGAAGGAATGGGAAAAGGAAATTAAGAACCAATTAGATTCACTTTTTTATATTCAAGGCATGTAGTTCCTGAGGTTTTTACGCGATGATGCCTTTGCTGTAAGCCAAACAGATCCATAGCTGACGAAGTTATGTTAAAAGGAAAAGAATCGGCGACAGGCCACATCAGGCCTACTCTTCAGCGCCGAGATCAATATGTTATGTTATGTTAAGTAAACGAGGTGAAATATACCGTAGTATCGTCGTGAAGTGCGGTGTGTAGGACACTTCAGATTTTTGTAGTACGCGTTATGCCTTTGGCCCTATTTAGCATACCAACCGTAGTGTTCCATGCCGCACTATGGCTTGTAGTGCGTAGTGCTGTGGG